AATTATTCCCACCTTTCATTCTCTTCTCTGTGGTGCTTCTCTATTGCATTTCATATCCTGCGGGTCCAGTGTTCATAATGTGTAGCATGCTCACCTGTTCCACCCCTTCTGTTATATTTCACCTTTTTTTTTTTTTTTGACAATTTTTATACCATTTCTTTTTTTTATAGAGTGTGGGGTTTTATGCCCAGAAATAAATGTGACATCCAATAAAGATAGTTAGGGTAAACATGTTAAAAATGAATAAACGCTTGGTTCTGCAGTTATCTAAATGCAAGGAATCAAAAGTTTAATACTTCTGTGGAAAATAGAGCCTAAATCCTCAGCGTACCCAATAGATACAGTGAATTATTGACAGAGTAATGGTCAGGGAGGTGAAATTAAAGGAAGTCAAGCTTTTGCACGATTCATAACGAATACCGATTTTCTGATGTATTCCAGAGTTGGTAAACATACTTAGTACACTTAGGGGAAAAAATCATTTGCCTTACCGATTTCCATTTTTGTTGGCTATTTTTTCCCAGTTTAATGTTTCAAACTATTAAAACAAATAAGATATAGTGTTTTGCTTGAAAGTTTATATACCCTTCCATTAAACACAGAAAACAAATCAGCTGCCAGTAACTTAATTTGAAATTGACAAAAGTAATAAAAAGTAATAAAAATGATAAAAAAGGGAAATCATGACATTGATTTTGAATGTGATTCGATTAATTAGTTGGAGATGCCAAAACACCTCAAACTAATTTATCACTGGACACTGACTTGGTTATTGCACCTTTTATTGAGTATTTTAAAAGTAGACTCGCTGATGTGCTTTTGGTTATTTCAATGCTGATGTTTGCATGAGGTTAAAATCACCAAGTATTAAAAAAAAAGAATTTATGGTTTCATCAGTAACATTAAGCAGTCCAGGTCCTGATGCAACAAAGCGGCCCCAGACAATCTTACCATCAAACATTTGACTCTTGGTATAATGTTCTTCTTCTGAAATGCAGTGTCACTTTTGCACCAGATGTAATTTGTTAAGCCATGAAGTATTTTCTTTCAAGGCTTTGAGATGATAAATATGTTTGGTCAAATGTCAGACAAACCTTTTTAACCTTAAATTTAGTGATCATCATCAACTCTCCAATGATTGCCATGTCTTTCCCTTCAGTTTAATGTTGTTGAACCTTGTGAGTCAAGAGAGGCCCACAAAGTGCTTTATGGCATGTTTTCAATAAATAAGGGACCTGATTCCCCAGACCTTTTATTTATCTACTGTTTTCTTGTATTTCCAATGTGTAGTTCAGAGTGCTGACCTCACCTCACAGCAGCGTTATGGACCAAGGTAAAAGAGACCGGTGTTAAAAATAAAAGCTGCCATTTACAGCAATGAAACTATCTGTGACTCTTGTCACTGCAAATACAGTTTATATATTTACAGGTCAGATTTCATGGAAAAGGGAGGCTGCAAAATGTATTAAAGACATTTAACCAAAGCAGACTTCCATGCTCTTAACTCTTTATGCAACAGACAGAGTGGAAAGAGGAGATAAATCTGCAGCCTGGATTAAAACCCAGTGTTTCTGATCATAAGCTTTTGATAATTTGAGTAAACTTCAAAAGAAAGAATGAGCAGTAGAAGAGCTTAGACAAGCGGTGGCCCGCCAATAGAGGGCACTAGGGCAAAGCACCACCCACCCAATGACCTTGATTAAGACATAAAAAAGAAAAAAAATCAAAATTATAAAATTAAAATATTTCAAAATATATATACACTTATACCTAATATTTATTAATAGCCCCCCCTGGAGAAAACGCCAACAGCCGCCACTGCTTTAGACTAGTTCGATTTGAGATGTTCTGGATTTTGTATTGACCTCTGAGATCAGTCACTGATGTGCCCTTGGAGGAATTTCAGTTGGCCAGACTCTCCTGGGAAAGTTTGCCCTTGATACATGTTTTCTTAATGTGCATAATGGCTCTGAATATGGTTCCCTGGACTCCAAAAGCTAAATCCAGGTATGGGGGCTAATATTGAACTAGTCTTTCCAAACTATGTGGTTGATAAAAGTGACTATGATTAACAGAGGAGATGATTTCTATTTCAAACTTGGCCGGGTTGGTTTGGATAAAAAGCTGCAATTTGTATCTAAAATATTGTATTTATTTGTATTGAAAACATTGCATTTCTTTGCTGATATGTGTAACAGAAAAAGCTAATCTTAATTTTCTAGATGGCTGTTCTACGTGCATTTCAAACATGTTTAATCTAACAGTGATTTGTTTTCTCAAAAGTACCCTGTCTTAGTGAATGTAAGCTTTTTTTTTTTGCAAAACCTAATTACCACCTTTCATACCTGCAAACATTGATTTTGAAAGCATTGCTCAGTGACGGTGCAGTAGAGCAGAAAGCATGTAATTATCCCTGGCTTTGTTAGAATTGTTATGGTTAGTGTAGTATCAGACTTTGAATCTCTCTTTAGCGTCCAGTTTAAGCTTTCTATACAGCCACCAAACCTGAAAACTGATAGATACTGGCTCCTGACATGGAAAACGGGCCCGGATGATTGTACATTTACAAGAGCTATATTTGGTTACGTATATTCATTATCATCCCTCATTTAGAACAGTTCAAGCTTAATATCATCAAAACAAACAAGTCAATACAAATCTATTAACCAGTTTACAAGTTGAATGATTATTGAGAACAAATATCTAAAATAAAAGTGCAAATTACTCCTATCATTTTTGTTTCTGTCGACTGCCTTTTACAGGTACGAGTTGAAGATTATGGTATGATTTACACATAAAATAAGAGAAAAAACATTGTGTTTCCAAATCAAAACTTTAAACCAAAAGTCTGAGGATGCCATGATCCTGGCACTGGTGCCTCGCTTAATTCCTCATTCCTTTTACCTGTCTCTCATCTGATCCACCTGCTCCTGCCTCTGTTTAAGGTGCTTGAATCCAGTCATCAGGGCCAGATCATTCTTGTTCTCTCTAGCCAGTCATGAGTGTTTTTAGAGTTCCTTGGTGTTTCTGATTACCTGACCCTGTCCTGTTCTGCCCCTCAACCATTGAGCCTGCCTGTTCTCATCTGATCTCAGTGATGAGAGTGTTTTTAGAGTACCTGAGTGTGTCTGATTACCTGATTCTGAACACTGAGCTTGCCTGTTCCTGTTCTGATCTGTTTGCCTGAACAGTCTTTGGACTCCTGGACCTCTGAGCGTACCTCTTCCAGTTTGAACGGTTTGCCTGAACTCTCTTTGGACTCCTGGACCTCTGAACCTGCTGGGTCTTGTTCTGATCTGTTTACCTGATCTGGCTTCAGACTCCTGAACCCCTGAGTCTTCCTGTTATGATCTGTTTGTCTGACCTGGCTTCGGGCTACTGATTGTTCTCCGAGGCTGCAGCATCTGGGACACACTGGGAGGTGCCTACAGCATCTTGTTGGCAGCAACCAGCTGGATCCTACCGTGTTCTCTGGGCATGGACTGAACTTTTAAACCAGGTTAATGGCTCGCGTTCATTAACATATCATAGCATTTCCTGTCTCAGACGCCCTAGCTGCTGCAGCTGCTGAAACCAAGGAGGAACCCGTTCTATACCGGTGTTACTTGTTAAATGAATCGCCCTTTTTTTCTATAGCCCACAAGTAGACAAGGGAAGGAAGTAATCTCTCATAAGGATATACATCAGTTATGCACAAAGCAGATAACTTAATCTTTCTTTTTCTTACCATAAAAAAGAGTTTTTTCTTTAACATGCAACTGACAGATAACTTCTTTTACCTGGTGCTTCCAACAATTGTATTCTCTCATTTTAATACTGCCAAGGGCAA